TATATATATATATATATATATATGCTACAATTATTGCCTTTGTTTGGCTACTTGGTTGCGGCCTTTATTGTAAAATCATTGGGTTGGGGGTTCGATCCCTGTGTAAGATAGAATTGCACACATGTCTGGAAGGGGGTCCGCCCCTCGAATTGTACTATGAGGTTGATTGGGTGATTAACCATTCTTTAAGAAAAAATAAATAAATATATGCTACCTTTCAGAGGAGCTTGTTTTTTTTTGAAGGGGGATAAAATGTCCTAATAGATCCAATGTGAGAAGAGCTAAAGCAATGAAGATCAAGAGGGAAAAGGAAGAAATTGCCGTATAAGTAAAATTATGAATTTGAGAAGGGAAAATTACCCCCATGGTACTTGGGTCAGCTCCCGCTTGCCATCTCATTTTCGGCCATTTTTGTTTTTTTTTTGTTTTTTTGTTTTTTTGTATAAATAGCATGTGATATAAACTGATGTGTTACTTCTTAGGTGTATGAAGCACAATTTATTTTCTTTTATTAGAAGAGTATCAATATATAATATATAAGGACATAATCTTTAATGATATCAATGTACTCGATTTCTTTCTAATTATCAAATAAAATATTTCAATTAATTTATTTTTCATTACTGGGATTAATACTATTTAATTTAATTTTAATTTATTTTAATCTAAAAATTTAATCTTAATCACTTAAAATGACTTGAATGAACTGAATGAATACGTAATATATGCTTATTGAAGAAAATACGAATATTCAACCAAATTTCTCTTTTTATATTTTGCAATGTTTTTTTTCCTATTAATTTCAAAATATGATTACTTAAATTTTTCATAGTGCTATTATTTGGAATAAAAAGGCCATTTAATATTAAGAAAAAAATTTAATGTTTTCATCAAAGATTCTCCTCAGGCTAATGTAAGTTTCACCGTGATGGAGGAGGTGAGCATTGCTTGCACGTAAGTTAATAAGGTTTGTTGAGTTCATGAGAACTTGCTTGCACTCTTATCAGCAGCTGAAATGGTTCTTTCTTGCAAGGCAAAGCAGTGTTGCGAATTGCGATAAACGAATAATGAAGGATAGCAGACGCCTTCGACTCATAAATAGTTGCTAAGGGAATCAATTTATGAGATCTGATGTCCGTAAATTTCTATTATTGTTCAGCATTACTAATGCGTTTACGTATAAAATTTAATAATTAATGTTTAAAGGAGTTATCGTGTTATTTTAGTTGATGACAATGTTTTGTAAAATGGGAGCTAGCGCCCCATATTCATCCATATTGAACTTTCTACATCTTAATTTCTCAAAAACTATATTGCGTTAAAATCTCTACAAATTTTTACGAAAGTATAAGCTATGTTATGTACAAAACTTCAAAAATAATAAACTTGTACGAGTCACAATTAAGCAAAGCCACATAGAATTTGCTCATCTTCATCAATTTATTAAGGCCTAGTTTGAGATTTTTTTATAACAATAGGTTTCTTAAAATTAATTTCTTACGCATTTTATATCAACTTATTTGAAAGAACCCATAACAAAAATAAGAATTTTTGTATTTTTTTTAAAACAACTACATGTTTGGTATTACATCAAGAAATCTTGGTTTAAATCAAATTATTAATAAATAAATGAGGGCACATTCAAAATATCATTTATTATGTATCTCTCATGAGAAATTTTAATTTTACATATTAAGCACTCGGTTAAGCCTCTTTCCAACTTCCCTAATTCCAAAAGGTTAGAAGAAGCTACAACTCTCGCAAGTTTCTTACCTACAAGTTCTCCCTTCCTCTAAGGAAACCCTCTCACACTGAGCTTTCTCTCAATTTGTCTACTTGAGGCAGCACCACTCAAAATTAAGCCCTCGCCTACTCAACGCACTTGACATTTCTCTACTTGAGACCTCACCGATCATAAAATAATCCTCTCCTACCTCTCCTATCTAGCTCTCTCTTGAACATTTTCTAAGCTACTTCTTCAAAATTCACCTTCTTCCTTTCTTCCCTACTGACTCATGTTCATCATTTATCGATTTCAGCCCATTTATTATTACTTTCTTTTCCTTGCACATTATTTATATGATTTATTTTTTTACTTTTGTTTTCTATGTTTTCACTATTATTTTTTCTTCCATTTCTTTGTTCATCTCTAATAGAACACAACCCTTTTTTTTATTTTAGATGAGTTTGTAGTGAGAAACATCTTTGAAAATTGAATCAACTTTAATAGGGTTCAAGTCTTCTTATTTGTTTTGGATGAGATTGTAATATTTTTTGGAGCTTCAAGAAGGACAATTAGAAACTAAATCATAATATAGTTTTATGTTTCTCTAATTGTCTCTTAGGTTTATATTATCAGAATTTAGGTTATTAAAATTGGGAACATTTATAGACAGTTAGCTTGTTTCGAACTAACATTGCGAAAATAATATTTTGTCAGGTAATAAATCTTGTTTATAAGATGCTTCTATTTGAAAAATTCTATTCTTTTAGTAAAAATTTGTGAGTTGAAAACTACATTAGATATTTACACTTTTACTATGTAAGATGTTAGCTTAATGTGGTAATTATCATTGTAATTTACATTTTCATTATATTCACTCTTAGTAGGAAAGTTATATTGAACTTTCAGGTAGTGGGTTCCTAATTTAGGTATTGTTAGACGTAGAGGAATGAAATTGCATAATAATATGGCTTTATCATCTTTTCACATGCCTTCATTCTATAATTATAATTTAAGCAGCATAACTGAGTAAAATTGTTAATGTGATGTTTGTTGATCTTATTTAGATGCATGAATTATGAGTCATTAGTTTTGTTATCATATATGAGCTCTAGTAAGTCATTTGCAACTGGGGTTGTCCCTGTAATGGCCAAATATATTTTAGATGCAATTTATAGTGCGTTGAATATACAATTCATTGGGGCAAAAATAGTGACAAAATGTTTTATCGGTGCCCACAAAACTGAATAGATGATAATTGCAATTTTTTTTAATGATTAATGAGAATGAACCAAAATGTTTTATCGGTGCCTACAAAATTGCAATTTCTTTTTATGCGTTTATTTTTTGTTGAAGAAATTGCTTGGAGTCATCGTTATAGCCTGATATATTGTCCATTTACTTAAGAAATCAATAGAGATTGGTAAGTCTTAAGGATTGTTATAACTATTGTAATGCATCTTTTTAACATTCAAAGTGTTTGTGAAGTTTATTACTTAGAAAATTGTCATTGTTATGGTTGTTTGCATATATTTTCGATGTTGTAATCATTATTATAATGTTGTTTGTGAATTTTTGCTCATTTTTTTCCTGTTTGAAACTGGTGGAGCTCTTTGTATATTTATATTTCTATGTCAAAATAATTTTTTTGTAAGATAAAATTAATTTAAGGAATTTGGATATTTACCAATAGACTCACTGATCCCCCCAATGAAAAGGAAATCTGGGTGGCTTTAAATTCCATTGACAGTTCTAAGACTGTAGGGCCTGATGGATACACAACAGACTTCTACAAAAAATCCTGGAAAATTATTAAAACATATGTTATTGTTGTTTTTGTGAGTTTCTTCCAAGGTCACAATCTCCCTCATCATTTCTGTGCTTCCAACTATGTTCTGGTACCCAAATCTGAAATTCAAAAAACTTGGGACCATTTCAGGTCCATCTGCCTTACCACTATACTCAGAAAAGACATAAGATAGATCTTTGTTAGTAGACTCCAACCCCTTCTTGACACTCTTATCAAAAATATTCAGACTGCCTTTGTCAAGGGGAGGTCTAGTATTGACAACACCTTAGTGGCTCAAGCACTGCTCCAGGACTTGGATAAGGCTTGTAGTGGATGAAAACTTATTTACAAGTTTGATATCAGGAAGGCTTATGACACCATCCATTGGGACTTTATACTGGATGTCCTTTCAGCTAGAGGCTTTCAGCCTGAATTCTGCAATGTTATTCATAGATGACTACATAACAATGTACACTCCATTCTTATCAATGGGCAAGCTTGGGAGTATTTTACTGCTACAAGAGGCTTGAAGCAAGGGGTCCCATTGTCCCCTACCATCTTCATTCTATCAATTGACTACTTATCCATAATATTTGATGAAGTCCTTCTAACCTAAAGCTATTCTAGATACCACCACAGATCCAATATAGTCATATCTAACCTACTGTATGCTGATGACAACATGGTCTTCTCCAGTGCTCACAAGAATGCTATCAAAAAAGTCTTTCAGAGCTTATAGAAATTTCAACTATACTCAGGGATGTATTTCAGTGCTGATAAGTGCCATCTGATATTCAACAAAAAAATCCTCCCCCATCTGTAAACAGTTGGCCTCTAAATACACTGGATTCTCCTGTACTCAACTCTCTATCAAATATCTTGGAGTACTCCTTCTATTGGTAGATCTAAATAGATCTATTTGATGA